ATATATTCACAGGTTCCTGAGATTAGGATGTATATATATTTGGAAAGAGGGCATTATTCTGCCTAAAACCTTTCTTATTATCATTATGTTTCTTTAGGAATGGAGGAAAATAATGTTGTTTGGTGAATTATTACTATAATTATTATAATTTTCATCATGATAGAATCAATGTTGAGAGGTGTGGTGGATATTTGCAGAAATGACCACAACAGTTCCCTTTCCTCTAGCCACACTTTCATGTCATCCTCTCCCACTCTGATGCTGGGCTTGGCCACGTATCATAATTCTACCAATGAGAAATAACAAACAGGATGTAAACAGATGCTTGAAAAGTGCTTGCATATTGGGCTATGCCCTCTCTTGCTATTCTCTGACTACCATGAAGGTTCCCAGGCAAATCTACCAAGTGCTAAGACATACGTGGCCCAAGGCACCTTTGTCATTGAGCCAATGGCCAGCATTGGCAAGTAGCAATAATCAATCAGCAGCGCAAGCCACCGATACTTAAGAGAGGTCACCTGAAATCAGCCAGTTACCAGCTCACCTGCGAGAAACCACAGGTGCCTGAGGAAGGCCAGCACTGTGGAGCCAAGCTGGACCAGACCAGAAGGACCGTCCAGATAAGCAACAGAGTCACGAGCTAATTAGGATGTTTTCGGGGTGGTCTGTTATGTAATAAAAGTTAATTAATGAAGGAAGTTGCAATTAAAATGGAAGCCAAAGCCAAGAATAAGGTTGAACTGAAAGAAAATTCCGTTGCAAGGAAATAGTGACAAAGAATATCCCTTAAAGACAAAACCATACACATGAATCTTTGGGAGAGATCCTGTACACAGGAACAGTGAAGTACATTGAGTCTAACTCCTCCTTCCTCTCCACCTTCACGCCGTCAGCTCTGTGACACTCACTGTCACAAAGCATGCTCCAACAATCACTTTCATCTCATGGTACAATGTAATACTGAAAGAGCTTAAACATCCCCTAATCTGATGGTCCTATTTTATTTCATAGAAAGCTCAAGAACCAAGAGATAAATTGACTTGTCCATTTCACATAGATTTAGCTTATATTTTCTTTGTTTTCAGTGTAACAAATATGCTTCCTAAACACTTCTGAAAACACTATGGTACCTTACTTTAAGGAGAATGTTGTGTTCAGTTTCTTCTTATTTCCATGTCTCCCGGTAGAAGTCTCAGGATGGGTGGACCTACAGGGAGAAGCTCAGAGGCAGGGAGAATATGACTCCTCCATGGTCAGCATGCCCAGAGAACTGGCTTTGAAAAGACACCTTTGCCTCAGTCCTGGGAAAAAAATGAGCCAGAGATGAGGAAGATGCCATCAGCTGCAGCAAAGCTACCAACCAGGAAGAGAAGAAGTGAGAGAAGCAAAGAATAAAGAGGGTGGGAAGGAAAACTGTGAGTCTATGGGCACCAATTGTTTGAAAGAAAACTTTCAGAATATTAGTTTCCTTAACTCTTTTTCATTCTTAAACTGTAGCTTCTAAGAATCAGCTGTGCAGGCCCAAGGAGGCAGGTTTGGTCAGGGTAACAGACAGGGGCCCCTCACCCCAGGTGGTGCAGTGTGCCAACCAAAGGTGTGAGCAGCTTTGGTGGGGTTTCCATTCTTATCTTCCACTTTCTCTTACAAATAATCCACTCTCCGGCATTGCTGGATTTCCTAGTCTCCTTCATGCTTTTGCTCTACTGCTTTCCTCATCCTGGAGGGCACTTTCCCTACGTGTTTGCCTGGTGAGATGCAATGATCTTCTTTTGCTTAGTTCAGGTGTCTTCTCACTGAAGCCTGCCTGACTCCTTCAGGCTGAGGTAGTTGCTCCCTGAACTTTGACTTATGAACTTTGACTCACCCGTTCATACTATTAATTCTGCTTGGAGTAGTGACATTGTCATCTGGTGGTGTCAGAAATTTTCACCTTTAAAGAGTTTGTATTAGATCTATTTTGGGGACCTAGTGTTTGATGACTTGCCATGCAGCGATGACAAGCTCTTTCAGACTCTACATCCAGACCCGTAGGTGAGTTTCAGCACGGCCTTACCAAAGAAGCATGCAGTTTTGTGGGTGGCCTTCAAGATTGTTCTCTGGTTTCATTAAAGAAAAGGAAATGCAAAGCAGAGCTGTGTGCATTTAGAAATGCTGAAGGTGAGCCCCCTCTTTGAAATGAGGTTACCAATCTGCTGGAAGAGACTCACCTTCTTAGTGGACTGTTTTTAAAAGGGGATGACATGTGTGTTTAGAAACAATCATTCTTTCACCAAAACACCTGGTAGACAGATATGGTTCACAAATTCAGAAGTGATGGAACTAGTCCAATAAGGTACCAAGCACGCTGCTGCCTCCTTAATGTGATTAAAAGGCTATTGCTTTTCCACTGTGCGGCCTTTAAATAACAGACACTAGTTCTTAGAACACCAGTCAGGTGCTTTCTATGGGAAACGCATATTGCTGTCAGTTCAGTTCTGCCTTTTCAACACCCCAGTCCACTTCTAATATTTATGAAATACCATTCATTCCTTAAAGGTACGATAATATGTAATTGGAAAGAAATCTTTAAAAGCATAAAACATAAAGAAATTCTTTTTGTAAGATGTGTAGTAAGGCATCATTTATTAGGACCGTACCAAACAATCATATGTTGGCTGAAATTGATCCTTGCACTAACTCTAAAAATTGATACTCAGATGCTAGGGAGCCTGAGTAACCTATTTAAGAGGATAGACTGTTTTGAAATACTTGAAGTAACACCAATTTAGGAAAAAAATACGCCAATTAAGAGGCTTTTATTTTGTACATCAGGTGCAATTAGATATTTATTTATCAATACATTGTTAATATAGTTTGGCACTTGGGAATAATTGCAATGGATTTGCTTTAAAATATTCTATGTTTTCACCTTGTTAGCCTGAGTTGCTAAGATTTTGCTATATTTAGTCATTTTTAGGAAGAATGTTTTCAGCAAAGCTTTCTCTTCTGCTTAGACTGTAGACTCTTCTCCTAAGTGGAAAATGGCTGCTGAGTGTGCAAAACCAGTACAAAAGATTTCATCAGGAAGACACTATTTATGATCATTTGAAATGCTCCATCCTTGGGAAATTCTTAAATTAGGCTTATGAAGGCAATCCAGTCCAGCAAACTGCTAACTGCACAAGGCACAAGCTCACTGGCAGAGCTGCAATTTGGACTACACTTGTCCTTGGTTCTTACCTTCACTTAGCAGCACACTCTAGGGTCCCAGGAGTCCTCCAGTGCTCCTGGAGCTTGTCCTCCAGCAGGGCCCTTGTACAGCGTCCCAAGCCAGGCTCTCATGAGGCTCCATCAGCTTTAGTAGAAATTGGGCTGGCAACTGATAACTATTCTTGCTGGTCCATCAACATGAAAGGTACCAAATCTAAGATCAGATGCAATTATTAGCTAAGGACCCCTGATGTCTTAGATGTCCCTCTACTACAGTGCAATTAGTAGGAAAAGTTAGTACCTTCATCAATTGAGGGTTTTTGTTGTTGTTTTTTTTTAACCTCGATTGATGAAGGTACTAGTTTAGGTATCAATTTAGCAATCCAGTTTGCTAAACTGGATTATCTTCATAAGCCTGATTTGAGAATTTTCCAGGGATGAAGAATTTCAAATGATCATAAATAGTGTGAGGTGATTTCAGGTGAGTAGGTGATGGACTTGGACTCTGGGATATCTGTCTATGGCTTGCATTATCTTTTTTTTCTCTCTGTTCCCTAGTTTCTCTCACTCCCTTGGGACTCTTGCTCATGTTTGCATAATTATAATTGGAATTCCACTTCCAAAATGATGTTGTTTCAGCATTATGATCCAGCAGAAACCATTGCTTAAACAGTTTTTTCTATTTGCAGCTTGAACTGTTTCACAAAGCTGTATGGTGCCACCAGGCCTCCAGAAGAAATGAAAACTTTTCATGTTGTAAAAGGAATAAGTTATTAAAGAGAGCCCTGGTGGATCTATTGTAATGAGCTGTAGATTTCTCTAGAAGTCGGTTGCCTGTTTGATGACAATAGGAAACATTTTCTAAATAACGAGGTTTGAAACTTCCAGTGGGAGTATGCTATTAAGTCATGGGATTTTTCTTTCTCTCTGCCTTGTTCAGTCAGCTGTGGCTGTGGCTGTGCTGTTGTTGTTGTTTTGTTTTGTTTTTCCCCAGTGTAATGAAACCTGCCTCTAAAAACGTCCTGCTAGGCCAGGCCTCCTGTTTTAGATCTCCGTGAGGAGGTGCCGAGGTTTAAAACAATTCTCGAATTTATTTAACAACTGGAAATAGCAGCACTTTTTTTTTTCTGAATGTGATGAATAAATACTGACTTATGGAGCTAAAAACAACAAATTATAAAAGTTAGCACAAGTCAAATGGAATCTCAGAATAAACTCTGATACCCACTGTTGGTAGCAGCTACAAAGTTGAAGAAAAATTTGGAATATAAAAGGTTATCGCTGAAAAATTTCTATTCATCACTTGTTAAAATTTTTCTGAGTTTAGGAAAAGATTGCCATTTTTCAGTTTTACTGGTGGAATACCTAGGCTGAGTTTTGAAACATCAGTGTTCCAGTGGACAGTTACTGGTATAAAACTGTATTAGCTGTACAGTGGTGGAGGGGGGAAGTGTCTGAAAAGGCAGGAGGGGTGTTCTACAGTGCTGATAATCTGTTTCTTGCTCTGAGTGTTGGTTACCCAGATGTGTTCACTTCGTGAAAATTCACCGAGTTGTTTTTGGTGTACTTATTATTGGTACACTTCTCTATACATGTGATGCTTCAATAAAAAAACTTACAAAAACAGAAACAAAAAAGCAATACTCTAGGAATAGTTATAATAAGATTAACAATGACATGTGATTATGTCCTTGAATGTAGTATTCAAATAGTTTACTCTGATCGTTAGCTGAGAGTGGAAGCATAGGGAACTCTCATACTAGATTCCTTATATTTGATTTCATTCATGACTTAGAGGAGAGTGATTGACACTTAGACCTGAGACTCTCATTGTAGAGCCACTGCACAGTGAGCAAGAAGGTGGCCTGTCAGTGTGTGCTGGGGTCATGCCTGTTCCATGCTGAGAAAACAGCTAATTGAAACAGTAGAGGTGATTAAGGCTGTAGCTTGAAAAGCAACATATACTGACACGGAAGGGGAAAGAGCTATTTACTTAGAAAAGTTCACCATCAAATCACTGGACAGGATGAACAACTCCTAGAGAAAGTCAACACTTAGTACAATCAAAAGGGACTCCATTGTGATTTGCTAGGCACTCTCAGTGTGTGTTGAACAAAACTCCCTCAGACATCTTCCCCTGGATAAGCGACCATGAGTGTGAAAAGTTCATCTTTTTTTCTTTTTTCAGTTGATACCTCTTTCCAAGGTTTTCTGAATTATATTTAAGCATAATACAGGGTATCTGATGTTAGCAAGCACCCGATTTAGCATGAATTGCTCTGGTTGGAAATCTGAGCCATATGTTTATGTTAGTAATAGCAACACTATGCAGTTTGATCATTTCTGAGCAGACTGATACATTTTCATCTTAAAGAGGGAGTTCTGAGAGTTTCCATTCATTTTTGAAGTAGCAGCAGCTTCCAGTACAGAGGCTACACAAGTTTTCTAATCTTATTTTATTTAATTTCTCTACCGGTCTGACTCTGATTAGAGGTTCAAATAAAACTGATTCTTCTATGCCTTGATTATGTTATTTCTTGTCTCTCTCCTGTCACCAAGAACAACTGCAAGTAAGTTAATTGTTACAAAGTTGTAGCAGAGAAGTGCTTGTGCTCTTTGAGGTAGCTATTATACTAGATTTCCAGATGGTTAAGATATTTTAAAAAATATACTCAACCTCACTTCATAGCTACGTTTTCACAAGGGTACAGAAATCCGAAGGAGATGTGCATCTTTCCAAGTTCTCTCCTATGCATATAAACAGCTTCGACTTTGGGAGCCAGCAGGGGGCACGTAAGACAAAATGAGTAAAAAAAAGAAAAAATTGCACATAGAGTTAATTTTAATCCATTCCATTTTTTAAATACCACAATAAATTTAATTTTCACAATAAATTAAATAGCCATATTCAGTTTACAAAATAGAATTACTTAGTGTGAAACCAGTATTTACAACAATATACATTATGTACACGACATTTCTCTTTGTTGACATAGAACATGGAAGTAAAAGGACTTGACTTTCCAACGTGTGATTGACATGCTACGAGTGACACCATGGTCCATACGAGAAACGATAGTGCAAAATCACCACAGGAACTTTGGAACGATGTCAATTTCATGAGCTAAGACATTCTTTTAAATAATAAGAAAATAGTATCTTCTGTTTTCACGGCACCAATTCAGCATCTGAATTAAAGAGCCAGCTTTCCCTTAGAAAAGAATGCATTACCAATTCCTCTACTTCCTGAAGCTTCACAGCCATTGGTACATTTTCACACGTTAATCTTTTGGCTTAAATCTTTGAAAATGGCAGGCGACAAATTCTGACTGAAAGGAAGACTAACTCTTTGAGAACAGCTGAAGTCACTTTCCCCCCAAACCACCACCTCTTCTTTTTGTAAATAGCTTAAAAGATGCAACTATGTAGATAGCAGATCGTTTTTTGTAAATTTTCAATAGAAAAAGAACTGATCTTATATTTGGTCACACACTGCGTATGTACAAGTATACATGAAAAAATGAGTTGGACAGTTGTGTCTAGGAAAAGTGCATATTTTAATCTAGACGAGACATTGTGTGTCTCCAGGCACAACACACAGTGTTGTATGACTTAGTATTTCAGGGCCAGTTCAATGTCCTCCCAGTGATCTGATAAAATTTTTGATTGAAAGGGTGAAAGAATTTGCGCAATTTGGTAATGACAGAGGGGTCCACCTCTGGATGAATGCGCCCCTTGCTGCCCGCCAGGCACTTATTAAAGATAATGTTAAATCGCAAGCAGTAAAACCCTCTGGTAGCATTGAAATATAAATTGTATTGACTTATCCTTGGGGGAAGATTTAGGAACTTCTCCACAAGCTGAAGTTCTGGCAGGGGTTCCGTGATGAGGCGATCTCCATCAACGATGTGAAATTGCTCAATTGGAAAGTATTTCAACCACCTTTCCAGATGTTTGGTGTAGATGCTGGTTCTTACTGCCTTGTACTTTGTGTTTACTTCGCAGGTATTGGGGTCTATGGCCAGCTTCTCAAACTTGTAATAGGTTTTATTCTTCCTCTCCTTCCCCTCTAGCACCTGAGTGTAATCAGAAATAGCTCTTGTGGTTGGCTCCCTGACAATGATCAACAACTTGATGGATGAGTTCATTTTGTAAATCCTTTCCGGAACCTCCTCTGTGATAAAATATGCTGGGCTCTTTTCAATTGTGATTTGCTGAGGGTAGGAAAAAGGCATCTTTTTCCTATACCACTCAATGCCCTTGGCGTAATTCTCATCATTGTCAAAAAAGTGGATTTCTTGAGAGGCTTTGACCACTGCCGGATGGAGGTTCAGCATCTCAAGCAGGGCCCTCGTGCCTCCTTTCCTCACCCCGATGATAATGGCCTTGGGGAGCTGCTGGACCAGGTCATGAAGGCGCACCTGCTCCTTGGAAGTGTTGCCCTTCCGGAACTCGTGCAGCAGGCCACGCTTAAACTGCAGGGCACGCAAGGGGAATTCAGCCTGACCGCGGGCTCCGAATCGGCCTTCGATGGGGCAAATGGGTTGTAGCCTGTAAGCAACATGGAGATGCTTTAAGAAGCTCATTGCGACGAACTTCTCATTTCTCAGGTTCCCCGGTCAGAGTAAGACTTTATATGCATAAATTAAGCCACTGTTCCCCACCTTCTGCAATCCATAATGAACATATGTTTGGGAAATTTTATTTTAAGCAACCCTGTATTAAATGGAGCACACATAATTGATGGGATATTTTTATTAGTGCTCCTTAAAATTTTTATTCACCAAGCACTTAATTGACTACAGTGTGCACTAATGTTCGAAGTACAGAACAGACAAGTGACACCAACCATACTAATAGCTTTTTAACAGCTCACCAGTTAACATCATTTAGAGACCATGAAAGACGGAAGATTACAATCTTCAGCTGGGAGGCTAAAGGGCAGCTAGGAGACCATATCTTTGGGGTTTCATGTGGTATTATTTTCTTGCAGCTCAGCTGCATTCATATAGCTCTGAAAAATCTTTGAGATATAATCTGAAAAGAGGTCCCAGTCTCTGCCCTTGGCTATTTGCGTCATCAGCCTGCAAAATTCCAATCTTGACACTTGCTGAGCTTTTCATTCTTTGAGAATTTCTGCCTCTGGCCTTGGGGACAGCTAGAAGAGTGCATATTTCTTCTGCCTCTCTTTCTCTTTCTTTCTAAAGAGGTTGGGATTAGGTTTTTACTTTGCTAAATGTAGGAACAAACCCAATGCCATCAGCAAGGGCTGTATATCACCTACCACACTTGGGACCAGAAATTAACAAGACCTTGGCAGTACCAGAAACCTCAGGTCCTCACTGCCAAGCCCATTTAAATCAGGGGCTGAAGCTCATGAAAGAAGGAAGATGGAGCCAGAAAGGAGGATTTATTTCCACTTCAACTTTGCCCTAAATAATAAACACCCACTGCTTTTTTCAGAGAGAAAGATGTGGTAACAACACAATAATATAAACTAGAGTGACTATTTAATTTGGCGTGGCCAATTTGTGGGGTTAATAAATTGAGTTTCCTTTTGGGTATAGTCTGGAATGGAATTGAAATTTATTATAATTTCCCTAAGTTTATCTGAGAAGGCATTTTCACTTTCTTGTCAAAGGGTGTAATATTGTCAAAATGCCTGTTAAACAAATCCATCCAAATGAAGATTCTAGTTACCCTAATAACTTGGAGTCTATGCCCCCTTTGTGGCAATGAGGCTGTCTCTTGCTTTTCTCAGGAAATCCCACTGTACCTTTCTTATCTTCTGTAATGTTTATAATTAAAGGGAGAAGAGAAAAACCTCAAGGTGACGCCAAGACATTCTGCAGAACTGAGGAGAAGGGGCTTGGCCTGGATTCTATTTAAACAGCTACCATAATACTTCAGAAAAAGTATAAACATATTTTACTTTTTTTGTGTTTTTTTTCTTAATGGTTTTTAAAAACAACTTGTGCTCAGTGTGGGGAACATGAAAATAAAGGATACTATAAAAATCTAACAGGATTTATCACAGTTAATATTTTAGAGAAACATGAATTTTGTTTTTATAAATTTCTTACTAGGATAAAAATACTAGAGCTCTAAACAGAAGATACAAAAATGGCAACACACACATAGTCAAAGATGTTTTTAATTGTGACACTGATTGGGATGTCACAAATTCATCTTATAGCTCTTCTTGGGTTCTGGTTGAGAGTTAAGCCCTAAGTCCTTAAGGCATCCATTGACTGTGATGGATGGACTTCTCTCCTACCATCTAGAATGATGCTATCCTTGCAAGAACTGAGGAAACAGTGAGTCAAATCCTCTCCTGTAGGACTTGATTCTCACAGAACCCAGCCTGAGAGAGGTTGGAATAGTCTCCGCCCTGTTTGAGCCGGAAAGGACTTTCCCT